TTGGGGGGCGCTATGGGGTTGTTGGTGGTGTTATTACGGGTTCTCAATCCCAATTTTTTGGTTTCTTTTTCTTTTTTTCCGGGGTGCCAACGACCACCAACCTGTAGGTGCCGACCAGCCGATCGGTCGGCGGGTCAGCAGCCGGCCAGTCAATGGGTGCCGACCAGCCGATCGGTCAGCAGGCCGGCAGCTGACCAGTCAAGGGACGCCAATCGTCAGGGGGTGCAACCCTGCCCTGAGAAGTAAACAACCTCAAAAAAAAAGGCAACGACCCCATGGACACAAAATCGGTTGGATACAGAATTTGTTGTGTGTGTGAGACTGTGCCTTCACTCAGATCCGTTGCAGCACGGCAGTCGCCATATGGGCGTGAATTCAGTTGGATACAGAATCCTTAGCACGTGTGAAAGTTGCCCTACGTGAGAAAAGTGTCAGCACTCCGTACAAAGTGCCCTGCCTCACTGGCAGAGCACTACAAAGAAAAAAAAAAAAAACTAAAGCTGAAACTATACGTGAAAGCAGTCAGATGCACTGCTGGAAGTAGTGGTGTGACCACACCTCCTCCCCGACGTCTTTCCTCAGCGCACGGTTGCTCCCTTTTTTTTTTCCTTTTTTTTTTTCTTGCAAGCAGGACCACAAGGCCCAAACGTTTCTTTTCTCCCGAGCCTCGTCGGAACCCCCCTAAAAATGCGGTGCGGCGTATATTCCCGTTTCTCCCAACACTGACAAAGGTAGTGGCGGTTTCCCAATCAAAACCTTCCAACTGAGTTGATCCCAGGTATTAAATCCCAGCCCCGACCCCCATTACCTCGGCGAACGGTCGTCGGTCAAGCATGCCATGATTTTTCGGCAGTCAACCAACCATCCGTTACACCCGTTAGTGACCACTGGGGGGATCGGCTGCAAGGGACAGTACACCGCTTCACCCTACAGCCATTTTCACATACCAACCTCAGGCCATGGTGAGTCACATCATCATGGTCCTGTCCACGCAGGAAGGGCGTGCACGTTCCAAAATGCAAATGGCCAGACGAGGAGGGTGAAATCGAGAGGTAAGCCAGCCACCTCAGCACCCACCCAATTTATAGAGTCCTCCCCTTGGTTCTCCTCCTCCTCCTCCTCCTCCTCCCTCCTGATCTTGCTCAAAGTGCTATGAGGTGGCATTGGGGGGAAACAAAAGCAAAATCATTTTTTCCTGTTTTCCATCATCATGATGAGGTAAGTCTCGTTATCTTGCCTATATTGGACTAGCAGCCAAGAGGAAAGACATCGTTTTTTTTTACCGACACAAAAAAATTCAAGTCCTCTTAAAGACGCGATTAATTTTGATTTAGTTTCTGGTTTGAAAGCTGAGGTATTAGAGCACAACAAAGTCACATGCCTCAACGGAAGTTGTCGTTAGGATATTGCTCAAGGAGGCCGCACTTTTGGTGTACCAGCATGCCTGCAGAAAGGGTGGGGGGGGGGGGGGGGAGGTTCTGACGCTATGCCGGTCACAAGTTACGTCTACTATGTATTGAAGTACACCAGGGCTGTACTGAAACGGTATTCACCTGCACGCAGTAGCGAATGCAGATCCCAAGGCTCGATCCCTGGACTCTCCTTGGCAGACTTTCAAATCATGCTTTGCAGCACATAGTCCATTTTTTCGCCTTAGAAAGAAACCACTTTTGCCCTGACAGCTGTCCCCCGAACCGAGCTTCTAGATAATACAGTGGTGGTCCAAAGCGCATACTCCTACCGTGCCTTTTTTGACCGACTTATAGATGCGAATTGCGGTCAGATACAGGCCCTAAACTCCTAGTGCGATAAGCCTCTGACACTGTGTCTTTAGGAGGAAACCCTTAAAAGTCGATACCAGTGAATTTCACAGACTTCGACGCACACGGTGCGTTCTCAACCACCCGACGAGGGGTATAAAATATAATATTAGTTTTCGAAACGAGTTATTTCAAATTTCCACGAGGGGCACGAGGGGCACGAGTGTCAATCCATTCATCGTGTGAAACTGGCACCAAGGTGAACAGACCCATCCAGTACGAAGCACTCGTGCCTTCGTCCCTTCCTGACCACTTCCGCTCTCGAAGGCTGTTTTACCACCTCTGAGATCGTCCGTAGGGATTATTATACTAGTTAAAAAAAAAAAAGGACTGCACCATGTTGGGTGGGTCTGGCAGGGCCAGGGCCAGGGCAAGGGCAAGGGCAAAGGGAGGGTTTGTTTAAAGGCCGTCCCTCCAGCGAAGGGAGGTTTTTCAATGAACAAGCAAAGCAACAAAAAAAAAAAAACAAGGGGGGGAAAAACACTCGTAGACTTTTTACCACCTTGTTTGGGTGGGTCTGGCAGGGCAAGGGTAAGGGCAAAGGGAAGGTTAGAGGTTTCTTTACAGGCCATTCCTCTAAAGAAGCTTGGTTTTCCAACGGACAAAAACCGCAAAACAAAAAGGGAAAAAAAAAAAAAAAAAAAACTTAATAGAAGACGGGACAAAATGAAATGAAACAAACACAAGCGCACCACAACCAACATCAAAGCAGACCCAGATCCAACAACCAAACCCATGCCATATGAAACTAAAACCCTAATGAACCAAACCCACGTCATATGGTACCCAAACCCAAACCCAACCACAGGTATCTCCACGTCAGTCAAACAGTACACAAGCATAGGTGTCCATCGCTGAGTCCTGAGTTCACACCATGCTCGAAAGTGACAATATTACGATCACCCCTCTTGATTTCCTTTCTGGTTTTCCTTTCCAAGGGAGGAATAAAGTAGGTAGGGGAG